GAATGTTTAGCCACTGAAAACCTTATGAATAGCAGTAGAACTCTATTAAACCATGATGAAAAGCACCAGAAAAATGTCAGGTATAGTGCCAGAAGACAAGCCCCTCAGGTTGGAAGTCACTCAAAATACTACTGGGGAAGAGTTGTCTCCTCAAAGTAGATGTGACTATGAGGACATTTGAGGACATTCATTTGTTAATGGGGCACAACTCAAATGGAGACGAGATAGCTGTAATTATCCATTAATAGTCAAAACATGAAATGTATTATGAATCTAAGAAAATTGGAAGTTGTCAGAAATGAAATGGAACACATAAAGATTGATATCCTAGGCATTAGTGAGCTGAAATGGACTTGTATTGGCCATTTTGAATCTGACAATCATAGGTTTACTATGCTGGGAATGACACATTGAAGAGAAATGACATCCTATTCATCTTCAAGAAAAACATTACAAGATCTATCTTGAAGTATAATGCTGTCTGTGATAAGATAATATCCACACACCTTAAAAGAAATACCAGTTAATACCACTATTATTCAAATTTATACACTAATCCTAAAACCAGTGATTATAAAATTAAGGAATGTGTCAGTCTGAAATTCATCAAACATGTACTCAAGATGTACTGATAATTACTAGATTGGAATGCAAAGAGGAAACATAGAGGAAGACCCAGCAGTTGGGAAATATAACCTTGGTGATAGAATGGAACCTGGAGATCGCATGATAGAATTTCGCAAGACCAATGACTAATTCATTGCAAATACCTTTATTAAACAACATAAAAGACAACTAGGGTAAGCACTAGACTGCTAACCCCAAGATCAGTGGTTCAAACCTACCAGCTGCTCCTTGGAAGTCCTATATAGGGTCACTATGAGTTGGAACCAACTCAATGACACTAACAACAACAACACACAAGGACTCCACTGGATGGAATAAACAGAAATCAAATTGACTACATTTGTTGGAAGAGATGATGGAAAACTCCATATTATCAGTCAACACTAGGCCAGAGGCAGACTGGAACAGACCATCAATTGCTCATATACAAGTACAGGCTGAAGCTGAAGAAAATCAAAACAAAATTTGACCTTGAACATTCCACCTGAATTCAGAGATCATCTCAAGAGTAAATTTGATGCATTCAACATTAATGACTAAAGACAAGAAGAGTCGTGGAGTGACATCAAGAACATCATACAGGAAGAAAGCAAAAAGTCATTAAGAAGACAAGAAAGAAGGAAAAGGCCAAAATGGATGTCAGAAGAGACTCTAGTAGAGATGCTAAAACAAATAGGAGAAATGAGGCTGTAAAAGAGCTGAACAGAGAATTTCAAAGGGCAACCTGAGAAGACACAGTCAACTATTGTAATGAAATGTGCAAAGACCTGAAGTTAGAAAACCAAAAGGGAAGAACATGCTCAGCATCTCTCAAGCTGAAAGAAATTAAGAAAAATGTCAAGCCTTGACTTGAAATAATGAATAATTCTATGGGCAAAATATTGAATGATGCAGAAAGTATCAAAAGAAGATAGAAGGAATACAAAGAGTCACTATACCAAAAAGAAATGAACGATGTTCCAACCATTTCAAGAGGAAGCATTTGGTCAAGAGCCAGTGATCCTGAAGGAAGAAGTCCAAGGTGCACTAAGGCATTGGCAAAGAACAAGGCTCCAGGAATTGTTAGAAAACAAACTGAAGTACTTCAACAAACAGATACAGCACTGAAGGCACTCACTCATCTATGCTAACAAATTTGGAAGACAGCTACCTGGCCAACTGATTGGAAGAGACCCATATTTGTGCCCATTCCAAAGACAGGTGACCCAACAGAATGCAGAAATCATCAGACAATATCATTAATATCACATGCAAGAAAAATGTTATTAAAGATAATTTTTAAATGTCTGCAACAATTCATTGACAGGGAACTGCGAAAGCTTCAGATGAGGATGTGGAACAATGCTGATATCAGATAGATCATGGTTGAAAGCAGAGAATATCAGAAAGATATTTACCTGTGCTTCGTTGATTATGCAAAGGCTTTCGACTGAGTGGATCATGACAAGCTATGGACAGCATTGTAGAAAATGAGTATTCTGGAACACAGACCAAGAGGCAGTTATTCAAACAGAACTAGGGGACACTGAATGATTTAAACCAGGAAAGTTGTGTGCCAGGGTTGTATTCCTTCACTACAGTTATTCAATCTGAGTGCTGAGCAAATAATATAAGAAGCTGGATGAAATGATGAAGAACTTGGCATCAGGATTGGAGGAAGTCTCACTAACAACCCGAGATATGCAGATGATATAATCTTACTTGCTGAAAGCAAAGAGGACTTCAAATACTTACTGATGAAGGTCAAAGACCACAACATTCGGTATGGTTTGCACATTAATGTAAAGAAAACAAAAATCCTCACCACTGGACCAGTAAATACCATCATGATAAATGGAGAAAAGATTGAAGTTGTCAAAGACTTCTTTTATCTCAAATCAGTCATGAACATTCATGAAAACAGCAGTCAAAGAAATCAAACGGCAAATTGCATCAAACAAATCTGCTGCACAAGACCTCTTGAGAGTGTTCAAGAGCAAAGACGTCAGTTTGAAGACTAAAGGATGCCTCACCCAATCCATGGTATTTTCAATATGTGAAAGCTGGACAATGAATAAGAGAATTGGTGCATTTGAGCGATGGTGTTGGAGAAAAACAGTGAAGTACCAAGGACTGCTAGGAGAAGAAGCAAATCTGTACTGGAAAAAGTACAGCCAGAATGCTCCTTAAGAAGCCAGGATGGGGAGACTTCATCTTTCATGTTGTTGTTGTCAAGTGCCATCGAGTTGGAACCGACTCATAGCGACCCCATGCACAGCAGAACGAAACAATGTCCAATCCTGGGCCAACCTCACTACCATTGCCACACTTGATGCCATCAATGATGCCACCTGGCTGATCCATCTCGTTGGGGGTCTTCCTCTTTTTCTCGGACCCTCCATCGTACCCAGCATGACATCCTTCTCCAGCGACTGTTCTCTCCGGACAATGTGTCCAAAGTAGGAGAGACAAAGCTTAGCCATCCTGGCCTCCAAGGAGCACTCTGGCTGCACTTCTTCCAAAACAGATCTATTGGTTCTTTTGGTAGTCCACGGCACTTTCAGTATTCTCCTCCAACACCACAGCTCAAAGGCATCAATTCATCTACGGTCTTCCTTATTCACTGTTCAGCTTTCGCGTCCATATGAGGTTATTGAAAATACCATGGCTTGGGTCAGGCGCACCTTAGTCCTAGAGCTGACATCTCTGCTCTTCAACACTTTAAAAAGTTCCTGTTCAGCAGATTTGCCCAATGCAATACGTCGTCTGATTTCTTGACTGCTGCTTCCGCGAGTGTTGACAGTTGATCCTAGAAGAATGAAGTCCTTGACAACTTCAATCTTTTCTCCATTAATAAGAATGCTGTTTATTGGTCCAGTTTTCATACTTCATACATATTATCAGGAGGGACCAGTCCCTGGAGAATGAGGGTTGCCAAAAACAAGAAAGAGCCCAACCAGTGGCAGCAGCAAGTGGCCCAAGTTGAACAATGATTGTGAGGATGGCGCAGAACCCAGCAGTGTTTCCTTCTGTTCTACTTAAGGTCACTATGAGTCTGAATCCACTGGACAGCACTTAAGAACAACAACTACATACAATGGTAAAGGGTGTAGGTAGGAAAATGGGATGGGGTAAACTGTTCTATAGCCACACTAGAATAAGTGGACTTTTGCAGCAGTTGTGTGATTTGAGGGAATACAAACTGAAGCAATCAAAGGGAAGATTCTCTTAACACCTGTGAAAGACATTTTTCTTTCTGCCTCTCAAGGTCAAAGAGGAAAATCAGGACAAGTAGCCTAGGTTGTAAACTTTGAGGTCAAGTAACCCATTCTGTTGAGCTTAGCTCTCAAGTTCTCAGTATTCAACTGCGTGTGAAACATAATTAATAGCATGATAAATATAAGTTGTGGAAGAGGCGATTGAAAGTCAGGGGGCCCCTTCCACGCCTCTCCTACCCCTACAAAGAACCTGTCATAAGAGTATTTAATCAACGTCAGTTAGCAGGACTATTAAAAAGTTTCACCTAGTTAAAGGCTGCTCTTCCTTGCGCCTCTCATTGAATTTTCTCTGCGTGGGTGTGTTCATAAGAGCCGAGTGGGTGAACAAGAGTGCATTGGGTACAATTTGTGTATTTGCTAAAGAAAACAGAAGCTCTCAATGAGGAAGAACATATGCTTCTGGGACAGCATCTGTGCAAAAAGTACACAGTCCCTAAGTTGTACTAAGGAATTAAAACAAAAAAAAAAACTTTTTGAAGTCTTTCAATTCACACAAGTCATTTTCTTGGCAATTTTCCCTAATACTATACTGACCAAATAGCCCTTTCTCTCTCTCAGTTTCAGAAAAATCCCGAAACGTTTCTAAGAGAGTGGAGCAAAGCCTGAATAACCAGATAAACTGCTTACTCGGGAATCCCCGAGGCAAGCCTTGGCCCAAGAACAGAGGTGACTCTCCAGGCCTGCCTGGAGGGCGGCTCCTCCTGCAATCAAACGGAAATCACATCCTTTCCTAGCGCTGGGCGAGGCCGAGCAATATAAGGACAGCGGGAGGGCGCGGTCCTGGCAGGCAGGCTCCGAGGTGATACAGAAGGTGTGAACGACCAGCCAGCGTTCGAGCCCTCTCTCCGCCTCCGCGAAGTGGGTATCATAGCGTGCAGCCACCTTCAAACCAGTACCCTGGCCGCAGTGCGCGTGCCTAGCCGAAGGCGCGCCCCTCGCCCCAAGGGAGTTTGGGCGTCGGACTCTAGGCGGCGCTCGGGGTCCGGACCTCTCACCCGCGAGGGGGACGGACAGGGGGCGGGGTCTGGGCGGGACCCAGGCGAGGGGCGGGGCGGGGCTCCAGCCCGCGCCCCCGACTCCGCCACTGCTTTGCGCTCTGGTTTCGCGGTTGGTGAGCTGCTCCGTAGCCCCTCCGGCCCCATGGCAGCCCCCGGCTCCCCAGCTGAGTGTGGATATATCCGCACAGTTCTCGGTCAGCAGATCCTGGGGCAACTGGACAGCTCCAGCCTGGCCCTGCCCTCCGAGGCCAAGCTGAGGCTGGTGGGGAGCAGCGGCCGCAGCGGCCAGGCAGCCAAGAGCCTGCGGATCCAGGAGCAGGTGCAACAGACCCTAGCCCGGAAGGGCCGGAGCTTCGTGGGCAATGGTGAGTGGAGTCCCGCCGCCCCCTGCGCCGCCCCGACCCTGCCCCTCACTCTTCCCCCGGTCCCTCCCTCACCCCATATCGCCCTGTGGCTCGGACTCGCTACTTCCTGGGGGTGCGGAACCTGGGGTTCTGCCCACCTGTTGCTCTTTTAGATGACCCATCTCGACTCTGGACTCAGACCGGTTTAGTTGCAGAAAGCACTCTTTTCTCATAACTCAGCTTTGTCATATCTGTATCTGTGTATATTAAATGCACATATATTTATGCCAAATAATTCATTCCAAGGTTTTCACCCCACCCCACTCCCATATGCACGCCTGACTGGCACAGGGAGACTTAATGAGGCACCAGGAGCCTATAAACACTTTGCATTTCTATTCAGAATTTTGGTGTGTATGACCGTTTTTTTTTTTTTCTGGGAGAAAGCGTCCTTCACTTTTATTAGACTTTTAAAGGGTTCATGACCCCCATAAATATTTGTAAAAGAAGACCTGAAAGAGTACGACTTGGCGTTCCTCAAATCTGTAAATTGGCCTTGCAGTGCCTCACCCAGGTACTTGGGGCGCTCCACCCCAGTGTACCTGAAGAGGAGAAATTGGCTGGGACGATTAAGGGCCTGGAACAACCACACCACCCCACGGAGGTGGAAAAGGAAGGGAACTTTGACCAGGTATGCAGCAGCCCATTTCACGGTTCCTCTCTCCCAGGATTCTGGCTACCGTGCGAGCCGTCAACACTCTTCAAAAAAGTAAACCCCGAAATGAAAGGTCACAACACACACACACAAAACAACTTAACAATTGTATTAGTGATTAATAAGGGTGTGAAGACAGAAAATGATGTCAGTTGTGAAAATTAGAAAATATAATATATAATTTCCCCACATTTTATTTCTTCCCTAGAAAGACCAGTATGACACTGTGACTCATTTTGTTTTTTTTAAAAATGTTTTCGTTATAAAAGTACTATAGATTTGCTAATAAAAATAATTATAATAGGAAATAAATTAAGCAGTTAATTAAATTGGGAATCGGTTTGCTTCTTGCAGTGTTTACCTATTTTAGTAGGAATTTGTCATTTTTTTCCCCATTAGAGAAAAAAACCAAATGCCATTAGACAGATTTTAAATGGCAGAGTATAGGAGGCTGTAAGGCTCAGCTGTGTAAAAGCATCTTAAAGAATTAGTCAGTAAACAATTACATACGCTTAAGGTAAACAAACGATATTTAATGATCGTAGTGAACATGATTGAGTGCCTGTTCTGTATCAATAATTGGACTGTGTCATTTGCTACACTGTTTACATTTTCAAAAACTTGTGAGCTAGACATTTTAACCCCCATTTTACAAATGAGGAAATTAAGCAGTTAAGTAACACTTAAATTCCTAGGGACAGTTAAGTGGTTTTTAAACTCCAATTAAACATTTTTGTTCTTAATACAAAGTGGAATTTATTAAATCCTGTCTGTGTGGGCTTCCTGGGTGACTCAAATAGTTCCCTCTTGGCTAGTAACCCAAAAAAAGGAACTCTGGTAGCAGAGTGGGTTGCAAGGTGAACTGCTAACCACAAATTCAGTTGGAATCTAGCAGTCGCGCCATGGGGGAAAGAAGAGGCTTTCTGCTCCTATAAAGATTGACAGCCTCAGAAACCCTATATAGGGTTTCTATGAGTCTGAACTGACTCAACAGCTCACCACCACGACCACTAAGCCAAATGTTGGCAGTTTGAACCCATTCAGAAGTGGGGTGGAAGAAAGGCCTGGCAATCTGCTTCCATAAAGATTTGTTGTTATTTGCCGTGGAGTTGGTTCCAACTCATAAGCAACCCTGTAACAGGTTTACGAGGCTGTAAATCCTTACAGGAGCAGAAAGCCTAATCTTTGTCCCTTGGAACAGCTGGTAGTTTTGAACTGCTGACTGTGAGATTAGCAGCCAGATTCGTAACCACTATAGTGCAAGAGAACCCTGTGGAGAAGTGCTACTTTGTAACACATACGGTGGTCATGAGTGAGAATCGATACCATAGAAATGGCTTTGGAGTTTTTTGTTTGTTGTTGTTGTTTTTTAATGTTTAACTGTAACATCTCTGGTCAGCCTTGCCCTGCCCTGCCTTGGCTAATTTCCTTTTATATTATACTTCCTGTCTCCTCTGATGAATTTCCTGAGAATCTGAGTTGTCTTTTGGTTTATCTAAGGTGAATGTTAGGTGATGATAAAAGCATTTAAAAAAAGATTGAGGATAACTGCTATAAACAGGAACAAAGCAAACCAGTTGCCAAACTCCATGCGTTGCAGAGTTGAACTTCAATCTATAGGAGGGGTCATGAGGCTATGACCATTCAGAAGCAGATGTCCAGGCCTGTCTTCCAAACTCTGCCTAAACTTAATTGGCTTTTTTATATTTTAGATACCTTTAACCCTGAGGAATGAGCTTTAAAAAAAAAAAAAAAAGATTTTAGCTGTTTCTAATGGTTTATTTGTTTTTGTGTATTGATCTTTTCTTTTAATAATTAATGAACTTTAACTGACAGCGGTGTCTAAAGTAAATTCCTCAGAAGCTGATGTTCTTTTTGCCATCAGATCCTATTCGACTTATCCTGCCTTGATTTTCTTGCATGGTAGTTAACACCATGGTCATATATGGTCTTTTTGCCCTCACCAGTATGTAGGCTCCTTGATAGCACATTCATTGCATATTTTGTTCTTAACCCTATATTCAGTGTTGACTGTGGTGCCCAGCTCAAATACATTTTTGAAATATGATAAAGTGAATAAATAACGTAGGAATGCAAAAGAATAAATAGTGTGCTGGACTGTAAAGTCGGTTGGAACCACAAGGTCGGCAGTTAAGACTCACCAGCTGCTCCTCAGAAATCCTATACAGGCTCAATATGGGTCGGAACAGACTAAACAGCACTTAACTACAACAACAACAGCCTGTGTCAGAGAAACTGCAGCAAACTTAAAAGTGCCTACAGCCCTTAATTCAGAAAAGCCTGTTTTTATTCTGAACAGAGTTTAATTTCTAATGGTAAAATTTTAAGCACCACAACTAGCAAAGTGAAATATATAATCTATAGTACATCTTAATAAAGGACCAAACCTAAGAAACTGTAAGGAACATGTATCTTTTCTTGGGAAATACTAGCTACCATGAAGTACGGAACATCAGATTGGGAGGACAGAAAAGAATGACATTTGGTTCCACAAAGGACTTCCTTTCCGTTTGAGACTTAGCATCAGTTCAGCTGAAGTTCCTCAGCTGTAATTACCATCAGAACCCTGTAGTTCTTGTAGTTCTGTCTTAAATGTAGAGGTTAATATTGGGATTGTCTTAATATTGGAAGGCTCACCTAAATTCTGACTGACCTCAGAAGATCAAATCGGTCAGTTCCCTACCATTTCCCTCCAAATAAAATTGAGGTGATTCTGGGAAAGTGCCTCAGGCTAGACAATACAGAATTCCCTCAGGACACTAAAGAAAAGAACCTAAATTTAGATTACAGAGACGAGGTAAAAACTCAAGGATGACTGAGAGGAGTCATTGTAGCCATTCACTGTGTACCTGTAGGCCCAGGTTCTAACTGGAACCAAAGGGCTTCGTGTGTAGGACTCATAGGTTGTACATTAGATATTCTTTCTTGTCCTATGAGAATCACCAGCCAGGACGGTCACCCAGACAGTTACTATTTAATAAATGGAGAGACTAGAACCATGAATACAAGGGAAGAGAGCATTGTGGACCATCTCCTGTGTGCCTGTTGTACAGTCGTTACATGTTTGGGTTTCATTATTCTTTAAACAATTATGTGTGCTAGATATAGGGCTCCATTTTACATATGAAGAAACAGAGAGCCATATTCACACATTATAAGAAAATCTGTTTACATTTGACTTACACCTGTCTCTCAACAAACATTTATTGGAACCTTAGTCCTAAATCCATGTATGATCTGTCCTCTTTCTTTCTGCTTACAACAGGGTGGGGAACGTTTTTTCTGCCAAGAGCCATTTGGATATTTACAACATCACTTAATATAAAATTTATATTGCTATGAAAAAGCTCCTAGATTTAATGAATTTTGAGTCTCACCTGAAATTGCCTTGGCAGGGTCAGACTAAATAATATTTAACTGATTTATACAGCCCATGGGCCAGACATTCCCCACCCCTGGTCTGTAACATGGTGCATTGGTGGCTTGGTGGGTCTAACATTGGGTATGTTCTACATGTAGGACACTGTGCAGGCACCAAATGAAATATAGACTCTGCTCTGCTTACTTTAAAGCAAAGAGTTTAAAGTGTGAAGAAGGAAGTCTCTGTCTAAAAAAAAAAAAAAAAAACAAATAAAAGGGAGTAAGTAATCCAGAAAGATACCTACCACATTAGAACATTTGGAAGTGTGAGTATGTGATACTTCTAGATGAAAGAAATTTTAGAAAACTTCATGGAAGATTTTCAATCTTAAAAATCCCATCGGGTTGGACATAGGGAGATGATTGGAGGAAGAGCACTCTAGGAGGGAAAAACATCAATATTTCATATAGTTTGCAGAGTTGTTATAGTAAAACAAAGGATAATATGAATGGTGTTTTTGCCCTAATGCTTAGGGCAACTATTTCAGTAGATCTTCCAACTAAGGAACGAAGTGTTTGAAATATTTTGGTTACAACAGCAGCTTCCCTGCAAGCTGAAATATACTCAACAACCTACACAAAAGTGCAAGTCAGGCAGAGATAAAAGGCAGCAAACAACACCTACTGACTTTAAAGCTTTCTGAGACTCAAAAAAGGAAATCAGCTTCATAGAAATTTAACATTATCACTCCATGGAAGAATTACCAAGGGTGGTTCATGTATACTGTATAATTAAGGTTCTTTGAAAAACTCTCTGGGTATGTGTGTGTGTAAGGGGTTGGGGGGGTTGTGTTCATGATGGTTATATTGTTTTAATTATTTTCATATTACTTTTATGCTGAAGTTGAAACACACAAGCAATTGT